TGGGATTGCATTCGTAGAGCAGACGCAGTTTGCCATTGGGCGCAGATTTGGTGGCCGGGTAGATGAAGATGCCGCCATATTTAATGGTGCGATGCACATCGGCCACCATGGAGCCGACATAACGGGCACCGTATGGTTTGCCCTTGCTGGGATCCTTTTTGGCCGCAATATAGTTATAGACACCCGCCTCCCAATCACTGGCATAGCCCTCATTGATGGAATAGATCTTACCCTTCTCGGGCACACGCATATTGGGATCGGTCAAAATAAACTCACCAATGGCCGGATCGTAGGTGAAGCCGTTGACGCCGCTACCCAATCCCAAGACAATGGCTGTGGCGGAGCCGTAGAGAGCATAGCCAGCGGCCACCAGCTGATTACCGGGCTGCAGTGCATCCTGTACGGTGGGCACGCCCGTGCTCTTCTTGCGGTAGATGGCAAAAATGGAGCCAATCGAAACCAGGCAATCAATGTTGGACGAACCATCCAGTGGATCAAAGCAAACAATATATTTGCCCTGCGAAAATGTGGCGCAAATCAAATAGTTCGAATCCTCTGCTGAAATAATGCACTCACCTGTCGCTCTGTCTCGACCTCAATGACATTCTCATTCTCCTCGGAGACCATCAGGCAGGTGGTGTACGAGGACTTTAGCATATTGATGAACAGCTCATTGGACAGCACATCCAATTTCTTGACCTCCTCGCCCTGCACATTCACATCCCCCGCAATGCCGTGCAGCTTGGCAATGCCAGCCTTTCGCACAGCCGACGCAGTCGCCTTGATGGCCGTCTGTATGCAGTTCAGCAGCTGGGAGAGATCTCCCGTTGCTTCCTTGAACCTGCGCTGCTCCTGCAGCACGAAGCGAGTCAGCGTCATCGCATTCGAGTCAAAGGCGGGTCCCTGTTGAGTCATTTTGGCTGTGAATTGCAGCAGGCGGCAAATTAGTCAAGATTTCCAATTAATATCCTAGCGGGGATTGAGCAATATATAGCTATGACCAGGTGCGGCAACATTAACATCAAACTTGCTGTGTTAGAAGGAATATATTTGAGGCAGTATTACAAAGCTACTGATAACTCAGTTTGGCAACAAAAATTGTTTATATAGCCTGAACCCATTGGAAATGGCTAAAAAGTGCATATTGGATTTTTTTTTAATAAGAATTTTGTTTTCGGTTAATTTTCAAACAGTTCTATATTGGTTAGATGCGACTTATAAGGGTATATAAATAAAGTAAAATATATATGAATATATTTTTGCGGATGTAAGTCTTCTTTATAGTATTACTCATAAACTGATCAAATTATACCATATACTATTTGTTATTTTATTATTAATTTTCTTGATAATCATATTATAATGTTTAACATTAACATAATAATTATATGATATTACTTCATATATATATATATATATACATTTTATGTTAGATCAAGATATTGCTCATCCCTCGTTTTTTTCTTCATGTTATATACAAAATATTATATGTATAAATAAATAAAAACATTTATAGAATTACGAAGCTTAGATTCTTAGTAAGTACTAGAGATAAGAGAAGTGCATAGCTGAATTTAAATTAGTACATGGAATTGTTTTTCACAATCTTTCTAATCAATTGGGTTATAAAATAGTTTTAGTGGGTTCGGAAACTGTGCAACTATTTATAGGTTAGTTCTCGGCTACTTTAAATAATAATTTTGGCATAGACAAAGGTTGGTTACTTGCCTAAAATTATTTGGGTATAGCGAAGCAAAGAGGGGGAGGGGTGGGGGGTAACTAGTTGGGCAAGTTATAAATTAAAACTTGTGCTGCAAGTGGGGGAAAACAGGCAATTGGCAGGCAGCAAAATGTGAAGAGCGCAGGCGGAGGGGGAGAGGGAGAGGGTACTGAAGCAGTGCAAGGCTTTGATTTTTCACTTACAATCACCGTTACTGGCCGCCATGGTTGGGTGTGTTTAGTGTAAATAATGCGGTTCCTGTGGCTCCTTAAAAAACAAACAACAATGACACAAATTAAAGGCCAATGTCAGCCAAAAAGTGTGAAGGTCAAACGACAGACAGTTCCACAGAGAAGCTTGAGTGGAAAATTATTATCAGAAACTTGTCGGTTCCTCTCTGCGAGTGCGTGTGTGTGTGTGTGTGTGTGGTGTGTGGTTTTTTTGGCTAGCTGATAACCTGTTTGTTCTACTTGCTATTTAAGTATATATATATATATAGTATATATGTATGCAGATATCGGTTGAAAATGAGAAACCGGAACAAGCGAAAGCATGTATATATATTATTTTCTTTTGCGATTTCTCAGAACAGCGACACGTGCCCCTATTTTAGTTTTGGCGCAGAAAACACATGATTTTATTTAGATACGGCATATATCCAAATATATATGTATGTATGCATATACGTGAGCTAACTATCTATAAGTGCCGCCCACTTGGCTATAACTTTGCGCTGACCCGATGCCGATGATGCCGGCTCATCACATTTGTGGTGCTTCCTCGATAATGTATATGTATGTATATGCAGGTGTGCATACGTAAATAATAAAAACAATAGTACTTTCACTTACAGCGGAGGCAACGATAAACGTACTGATCAAAACAGACCACGGATGAACTGAGCAAAAAGGAGGGGCACCAACTGAACCGCAGTCGATGGCTGTACTGAAGAGACTGAAACTGAGCGATGTTGACTTTCAGCTGGCAATGGGAACAGAGACTGTGGCGACGGCGGCGAATGCAACGTCACAAATTTGTTGTGCCAGACGGGAATTAAAAATAAAAGAAAATATTAATAAAGGTGGGTATGAGCGACGGAGAAATACCCTAAAGAATAACTTATGAATAGAGCATGTTTATAAGACAGTTTAATAATGTGGAAAATAATAATTGAGATATACCCTGTAAAAATAAAAAGTAAACTCTTATTGAAGTTTTATATATATTCCATATGTCCATTTAGAAATTAACATGTATTCCTGTAAAATGAATTGGTTCAGACTTCATGGGGTATACCCTGTAAATAGCAGTTGCACACTTTGAAAACAAAAATTCTATCTGAAACAGAGTTTAAATATTCTTAAAATTTCTTATATCATTTTTTTGTTGACTACTTTAAACAAGCAACCCTTTTCAATGGCTTACAATAAAATAGGGTATTAAAAACAGATAACATGTAAATGTACGCCTAATCAGCAGGCATGTGTGAGAAAGAGAGCAAAGAACCAGAGAGAGGGAGGGAGACATAAACAGAGCGAGACATGCCCCCACGCAGCCAGCTGAAGCATATACATATATGCATATGTACAAGACGTATATATAGTATATATATGCAAATATATGTGCATATACATATATCTGTGTGTGTGTGTTTGTGCTGCTTGAGCTAATGAGCAGAGTTGTCCAACTCGCAGAAGAGGGCGTGAATGAGCGCAATTGCAAGTTGTGGGAGAACTTGAGAGATACAGAAAAAATGCGTCAAGTTGAAAGAAAATTGGCGTGCTGGCTTTCAATTTAAAGACAACTGTCTTTGGTTTATTTTTAAACACTTCAGTTATCAGTTAATTAACGTAATAGCTGCCCAAATAAACGGAGTAAAAATAACAAAAAAAAAAATTACATTTTTTCCTAGCAATTTTCGTTAACAGTCTTTCTAGCTGGTTTCCATAGATAAACACCCTGTATATACTTACCCAACGTAATGCTTATTAGCCAGAAGTCTGTGATTTTTTTTCGGTCGCCAGTTGATTTCTGTGGAGGCTCGACTCCAATTTGAGGTTTTAACCGAACGCCACAATTTTTGATAAGATTCACATTCACGACAGCTATATAATTATTATTTTATATGTATTTTGGGTTTCTTTCGTTTCGTACTACTCTCGATTTTAGTCAATATGTGACTGATTACGGCTAGTTTTAAAAAATAATACACATAAAAACACGCGCAACTTAGTTAGCTATAAAATTGATAAAGAAATATGTTTTTGTTTTTATAGAACTGTGCACTTTGAATCTTTGACGTTCGAAATGTAAAATTGTTACAAAAATAAAAGTACGTTTAATATTAATTTAAATGTTAGATTTGCCCATTTTAGAGTAGAACATGTGTTATATCTAGATTTAGTAACAATTTAATGGGGCACAAAGTACACAGATACTAAATATTTAAGCTGTATATTCTAGTGAAAGAACTTTCGTAACATAATTAGTTGTGAGAGTTTGTTCGTATAAACTGATATTATTAGATATATTTTGTTTCGAAATTGAATAGTATACAATTCAAGCTCTTCACGTATATCTGTTAGACAATTGCGAAGCTTATCGAAATCGAAGATATAAGAAGCAATTTAATTTTTACTCTATCTATATTCATAAGCTCGCAACATACCAGTTTAAGATGTTAATCCAAGGTCGCATTCAGCTGATATGACTTCTTAAGCTATATACATATAAGAAATGTACTGCACCATCTTAATCTTAGAAGTATAAATCTATATACAATTGCTTGTATTTAGAAAGAAGTTTAAGTTTAAATAAGTCTTTCGCTGATGTTAATCTTTGACAGATGAGATGGTATTAAAATGTACTTACCTTAACGGCAAACATATGGGGGAAGTTGTAAGCACGCCGGAACTTCGGCACTGGTACCCACAATTGCCAGTCAATTGGAAGTATTCAACCACTTTTGTGCTGCAAGTGGCAACAAAGTGTCTCACTAAATGGCTTGCTAATAACCCGCAATTATTTTGCCATTGTTAAGAGCACTTCGGAGTATTTCACCCTCGGCACACGCCCACATGGCCATGCGCCAGCCGTGTGGGCGTATGGGGAAGAGGGCGTGGCCGCAGCCATAGTCATGGCCATGGCCATAATACTTCAACCCTATGGAAATGTCGCAGTTTAACCTGATTAGTGCCTACTTTTTGTTGGTCCTCAATTGGATTTGATTGCTTGACGGGACGCGCCCCCATGTACTCGACGGAGGCAAGAAAGTTTTCAGTTTTAAGAACCATTTTCACATGAGTTTTTATTGAAAGCATTAATACTAAGCTGGCTAACACATCAATATAACTATGAAGAGAGTTACATACTCGCCGAGAGACAGGGTGAGAGTTCTTAAAATGGAAGTACTCGAATACAATCACTATATTTTAAATATTAATAATATTTTAATGTATATATAGGTATATGTGTATATACTTAGCTTAAATGTAACTGTGACTAGACCTGGCGCTCAATTGGGAGATCGTATTGTGATCATTATTTACAGATTTATAACGTTAATTGTATAGACTCGAAATGCAGACTGTTACGCACTAAAATACCAACAAAATTGAGAAAAATGTCGAAGAAATTAAACAAAAATACCAAATAACTTATATTTTGAATTATCAATGGAAAGCTTTCTGAGAAATATGAAATTAGTAGCAAAAGAAAAGTGATCTTAGCTCCATTATGCATTGGTATTTTTTGTGTATTTGTGGTATATTTTACAGACTTACAACGTGTTACGTTAAATTGTGTGTGTTGTGCACAAAAATACCAACAAAACAAAAAAATACCAAAAAATTAACAAAAATGTCAAAATAGACCAAGAAAAATACCAAGTATAAAGAAAATAGTGATTTATCTGGTAGTATGTTAATCTATTGATTGTGTATATCAGCTATGCTTTAAATATGAGATAAAATAAAAAAATCCTTTAATCTTAAACTGACGAGAATGTGGTATTTTGTATATTGTTTGGTATTTTTTGCACACTAACTGTTATAATTGGTCTATTTATTGACAATGTTCACCCACTTACGGCCTATGTTAGCTGATATAGCTTCGAATCACCCACAATGTCCACATCGCTGGAATTATCATCGTCTTCGCTGTCCGCCTCCAGATCGGAATAGTCATCTGTGGAGTAGCCATGCTGCAGGAAGCACATTTGCAGCTGCTGCTGCTGACTAGTGGCCGGTTGACCCAAGCCCGATGCCAGTTTGGACTTGGAATCTGTGGAGGCCGCTGATGGGCTGGTGATGGCATCGCCTTGCTGTTTGCTGCCCGGCTCGGTGCGTGAGAAGTCAACGGGTTCTGCGGGCAGAAAATTGCCAAAAATTGTACAACTAATTTGATTTGGGCCAAAAACTTTAAGAAAACTTTCATCAAAAGGCAGCAGGCTAATTGGCCAAAAGCATGAAAGTGCCAAAAAGTTCTACAAAGAAAAGTTTGCCCAAGAAAACTGGCTGCTGTCCACTCACCATTGGCCGTGTCGCGTCGTCGCAGCTGCTTCTTGTGCTTCATGCGACGATTCTGGAACCACGTCTTGACCTGCGTCTCGCTCAGACCCAGCGCCGTCGCCAGCTCGACGCGCTCCGGCGTCGACAGATATCGCTGCGCCTCGAAACGCTTCTCCAGACCCGATAGCTGCGGGTCACTGAACACGGTGCGCGCCTTGCGCCGCCGGCAATGCCGCAATGCATTCACGCCCATGCCCAGGCCGAGGGCCAGTTCGGGCACACAGCCGGGCGCCCCGAAGAAGGGCGCTCCTCCAAAAAGGCTGGCTGCAAAAGTGAGCTTCACATTAATTGCATTACACGCACAGAGTTTTGTGCTCCATAATTGAGTCGTGCACTTTTCCCGACAAAACTTTCGGGTGTTGCTAATGGCCATTGACACGAACGTACCTTGGGACAAAAAGTAGGGATCGACTGACTTGTACGTGCCCGACGATGGCGACAGATAGCCCAGTGTCATCTGCAAGAACCCATGATCGCCATAGCCAGCATTTGGATAAAGCACACCACTCGGACCACTTGACGCAACCGGCGGTGGTGGTGCCGGAGGTGCAGGTGGTGCTGTTGCAGCCGCAGTGGTCATTTGCTCGGCAGTTGGCCCAGAGCTCGAATGGGCATAGTGGGCGGCAGCTGCCCGTTGCTGATGATGTGCACTATAGTTGCGAATTTGAAGTAAAGAGGTGGATAATCAAACGCTTTATCTATAAGTCTAACTCCGTATACTACCCTTATTAATAAACAAAATCATTATAATTTCAGCTTGGATCATACTAAAAGCATAACCTCGCTTGGGACTCTAAACTCTCGCTCTTTAATTCTCCTAACGACTCGATCTTTAAAAAACCTTTCAATAAAAACTTTATAGGTATTGCTAGGAAAACTCGAGGTTAAATTGAATATCTGAACACTTATCAACTATCATTTCATAAGGCCCTTGGAGAAGTTACTTAATTATATCAACGATATGTCAATATACTTGATCTGGTCGAGGAATACAAATATGAAGTTATTTTGAAGAAACTTTCTGCCTCAGACTCCTCATACGGAAAAGTCGCCCAAATTTGATGTATACATCATTTAGTTCTTTTAAGAAGACTTGGATTCTTAATTGTTCGGATCGTAAGATATTTAATATATACGAAATCTCAAATGATAAAACTTGTATTCTTGGTAGTTCTCATCGTACGATATTGAGATAATAACGATATCCAATTTAATTATTTTAAAAATTGTAAAATTATTTACTCCTGCTACCATTTTAGCTGAAACTGAATACCGCTTTTTGTTGTGCAAATTACCTTAGGAAGCTAACAATTTCTGATTGAAACATTAAAAAATCAATTGCGCTTTCAACATAATCCTAAAGCTAAATCCAATTCTATTCTGTTTTTCTTTGCTGCTTAAGATTTAACAAGAGCTTCTACACATTTGCTGAAGATTTTAAAAACATTTCTAAATTTGCTAAAGGCAAGATATATAATATGGCTCAGCGACGTCAACATCATTTCATAATTTGATAGACTATATGAAAACCAAATCGAATTTAAAATCGGTAAATTACCTACACCTAATAACATTTAACCAAAACTGAAGAGCCCGATTTGTTATAGAGGTTTTCATTGTAAGCTAATAATTTATGTTGCAAAAATTAAAAACAAAAAATAAAAAGTACATTATCCATTACATTTTCGAATCGCTTCTAATAATACTACCTCCATATTTGCTTAAGATTCGAAAATAATTTCAAAGTGTGTTAAGAGGAAAATATAAGCACGAGCCAATAGCGTTGGGTTTTTTTTTTCAGTATTAGAATTAAACTTGTTTTTAATTTAATAGATAATAAATTTTAAAATCTTTTCTGACTCGACACTAACCGTTGACTGTGCATGGACTTGACGTAATCCTCGCTGGGATAACCCGACGCCGAGTGGTTCGTGGGGCTGTTTGTTGGGCGTGTCGATGCCGTCGCTGTTGGATTTGTTGGATATCGGTTATTGTCATATGCATTGGCACTGGCACCGGCACTGGATAACGTATTTGATATGGATATGGAGCTGTCACTAGAATTGCATCGGGCACTTTTCACTGTATATTTGTTGCACTTTTGATTGTGGCTGCTGCTGCTGTTGTTGTTGTTATGATTGCTGTGGTTGCTGTTGTTGGTGGTGTGGTTGTTGCTGGCACTATTTAAATTTTGAAATAATATATGCTCAATCGAAAATGGCGTTTTTGTGGTTAGCATTGTGGTCGTTGTGGCGGGACTCTTACTGCTGGCAACAGTCGTCGCCGCCGCCGCCGCTGCTGCCGCTGCTGCTGCTGCTGCAGTTGCAACTGGGCTGATGCTGTTCTCATTAAGCGTTGACATGTCCTGCTTGCGTTGCGCCTTGTCCTGGTATGTCCTGGCCGTTGCCGTTGCCGCTGCCGTCGCGCTTATGTTGTTTACTCGTTGACGGTCGCGTTGAGTTTGCGGCAATCACCGCACATCAACCAGCAAATCGCTCTAAGCGATGCTCCAGGCGATGCTCGAGCTGCACGGCAACGCGAGGCACAGCACAGCTCAGCCCACCCCCAAAAGCGAGCAATGCAGTTGCGGTTCGCTGTCGCTTAGAGGCACCCAAAAATATATATCTATATATATTTATATATTTGTGTGTGTATATATATATATATATATATGTATGAACACACCCCCATTTGCATGTGTAGCATATATGGTTGTCTCCCTCGCACAAAGGACAATGACAACAGAATGCAATTTAGCCATTTGCACCGCTTGATTTCGGACCATAATGCTGGCATTTTACCTATAAAACTATATATGTATAATATATATATATATATACCTGCGTATATAGTATTCTGATATGTTGGCTTTTAACTGTGTTATGGTTATGCACTTGCTAAGTTTAATTGGCCTATGTTAACCGCAAATAACTCGCTCGCAGTTGCGGTCGCTGCTAGCGTTGTCGTCGACGCCGACTGCAGCCGCCATTTTGCCCATAATTAACGTGTCATGGCCGCCATTGTGTTGTGCATGCATTAAATTCATTAAATGCCACAATTATTATAATTAATTTATCGACTGATGGCGCAACTGTGCGCCTGTTAGCTACCCAGACAGATAGATAGCTAGACAGACAGACAGACGGGCAGGCAAGCTGTCAACGCGGCGTATGCGTAATATGGCACACAGCTGATTGTTAGAGGCAAAAAGCATGCATGCACAACTGTACCACCATCACCATCAATTGAGTCTAATGTAGGTATAATACGCGTTAGCCTGGAGCTTTCAAATATTTACCCCCTGAACCGAGCAACCGCTAGCTTTTGTTCTAGACCATCTCTAAGCTCTGACAATTAGGCATAAAAAATACTTGTCCGTAATTCAATAATTTGGCATAGCCTTACACAAGCCACCCAGACAGCAGCAGCCCACAAGACCACCTCGCACGGGGGGTGTGTCCTGGCGTCCTGCTGTAGCCAATCAGAGCGATTTGCGCTCTGGGGTTGCCGCAACAAGCAGCTGTTTGTCCTTATCCCACGCGCAGCAACGCTATGGCAATGGGGCAGCACTTTAAGGGTTGGGGTCTTGGGGATGTGCGTGTATATGTGTGCGACTGTGAGAAACAATAACGACGGCAACGAGCTGGCTTGAATACTAGCATACTGCGCGTGTGTGTGTATGTGTGTATGTGTGCTATGGATGCGACCAAAAAGCAAGACAAATTTGCTCGTTTTATTAATAAAATAAGTCACGCAAAGTAAGTCGAACGTCATTATTAGGTTAAAGCCCTAAAGCGGACGCATTAGATGTACGTATGTACACACACACACACACATGCGCGAGTTTCTATATGGAGTATGAGAGCATAACTGTGCTGACAACTACACTGACATCAAAGAGGTGACATATAATGGGAGTGTTCCTCAAGAGATGACTTAAGACAATGGATCGCCAACAAACTATATATAAGTCAAGGGAACAGCTTGGTTTGGTTTTATTCGGAATCTTTTCAAAATTAAGAAAAAATAATATCCGATCAAGCTTAAAAATATTATTGACTTTGAATTTGTCGAAATAAACAATATGGATGATAGCAAAATTAACAATTAAAATATCATTGATATAAATAATAATATAAGTTTTTAAATTATATCTTCAAAAATGTTAATGTTAATAACATAATGTTAATAACATAACAAACATGTAAAGTTAAATCCTAATTCTAAGGCCTGGACTTAACGTTGGAGAAACCCAAGAACCGTAAGGCGAAGCATTGGTTAGAATTGCTTGAGAACATTTTTTGTCATCTGAAAATCTTGTATATATATTTTTTTTTAATTTCTAACTACAAACTTCCTTTCTATTAAACAAAAAAAATAGGTTATTTGTAAAATGTACTCTACTTTCTAGTACTTACCTAATTTTGTACAGTGTATTTGTGACATGCAATTAAGTCGCTTTAGCTAAATCTCTGGGCATTATTTTTAGTTACAGGTAACTTAAGCCTGCATTGTGGGCGTGGACTGAAGCGTGGGCGTTGGCTGTCTACTGGGGTCCTCAGTAACCGACACAAGCTGCTTGTTGGTGGCACTTAAACTGCGCCCCGGAACTGACATCTTCAGTGGCTCGGCTCCATTGTTTTCCGATTTGACGTGAACGTGCGGAAGAGCTTGCAGCATGTGTTAAATATACATGTTTAAAGGTCTGTCCAACAGACTCAAGAGCTTCCACTGCTGCTCTGTGTTTAGTTGCGGCACAGGAATCAACGTTTGGGAATATTTTGTGGAATCCCATTTGAATCGATGGAGTTGCACGTGCCCGTCAGACGTGCTAAGCCTAATTTTTATAATAATAATAAAAATCAGGCATCGTATTGCAAGGGCACTTTGCGGTTTGGAGAGGGAGGATGATCGACGCCCGATGTCTGTCTTCTGGCAATTACAACATTTTGTGTCAGTTTGCATGGCAAATCCTTTTGTGATGCGACGTCCTCTCATTACCTTCTGTTTTTTTTTTTTTTTTATATTATAATTCCCTGAAATCAAAGCTGAAGTGTGTCAAAGATCAGGTTACAGACGTCGGCTTCTCAGATGCTCGATTGCAGCATCCGCATTTGAGTTTGATTCTCGGTAAATTAACTTCTGAAACGAGCAACATAAACTTAAGTATACAGCATTCAGTTAGCTAGGGGTACTTTGTTTATGCCAGGGCCAAAGGACCGCGCCACAAGTGGCAACATCCTTGCTTTGAGGTCAAAGGCGGCACTTCCCTGATATTCAATACATAGGCACTATAAGGGTTTGTTATTTATGTGAATTTATCGTTGTTCGGATATTGAATATACATTCATATATTTAAAACGAAAAATATTTATAATCTCAGTATGCCTTACGAGAACCTAAGCACCAAATTTAGATTATCGAGTTGCTTATTCTGCGGAAAATAACTTTTTATCAATATTTATAGACTTTCTAGATATATATGGGAATTATCCCTAAATTATAATATACTTGATGTATTTATGCCTTGCCAGAAACCTGCCTTCTAAATGTATCTTCTAATCTCTAGTCTCGGTAGACTACGGCCATGACTTGTTCAAGTCGTCGGCTGATATTTATCACAAATACTTTGTAGGTTCAGAGATGACTCCTTGTAACATATATTGTTTAGCAAGTATAATAATTTTTAAAAATATTTGTTTCATATATGAAATTTTTCTTCTGCACAATTTTCCCCGGCACATTTTTCTTAATTCAATACTCTTGAAGCCCGATGGGAAAATTCCAATATTTCCGAGACACACATATCAATTATTTTTGCTTGGAAATAATAAACTCAAAATGTATGCCAGATGGGGCTGTTAAAATCAGTTTATGAATAATCTCCTTAATTATATTATACAGCAATTGAATCGCTTCCATTTATTTCACATATTCCTAATTGTAGGCTCTCCATTTAAGCAATGGAAGCGTTGTCAATTAATAGCCGGGTGGGACCATTTGTCCGCCCTTGTACGGAGTCAAAGTTTTTTCACGTTTCGCGCCACTTTTCAGTTGCAGGAGTTCCAGGACTAAGGCTACGGCGGGGTTTTGCTTATTAAAAGCCTCTTGTTGTTATCCAAGGCACAGTAACCTTTTGCCCGGTTGCCGTCCGCCCAAACAATTAGAGCAGTAACAAATGCAATTACCAGTTCAACCTACTCCGACTCCCCTCCACCCGCGCCACCACCCTACCGACAATGTTCATGTTCCCGCTGAAGCACAACACAATTGCTCTCATTGGCAACAATTGAGCCGCAGAGCCGAGAGCCAGAGCATATCCTGCTCGTGCTGCCACCCGACAAATACGAAAAATAAAAAAAAAAAAAAGTTTGCCAAACGCGTGCCACATATTAAATTACATCGAAATATGTGCACATGAGTGTGTGTGTGTGTGTGTAGGGTGCGGGGAAAGTGGCAGCTTGTAATTTGCTGGCATTTTCTCAATGATTTTATCAGCACCCCGAATACAGATATATTTTGTTATTTTGATATATTTGTTTGAGTCGGCCTTGTGCTATTTGATTTAATTTGCAGCGCGTAATTGTCATAAAATTTGATTTACCAAATATTTTCTATTGTTAACTAAAGGGGTTTCGTTGAGGGTTTGCCCAACATTTAAGGGCGTGGCAAGGCCCACATTGAGCATATTTTTTCTATTTAAATGTAGCCTAGGCGCACAATCAAAAAGCCAAAAATAAAAGCTAGTCGATATTTTGCGAACTCTAGGCGAAAGGTTGATAATAAGCGTGTAATATTATATGTGTATATTTAGTAAAAAAGATGAATATCTACTCTACATATTGTAAGCTATTACGCTTTGAGATATAGTCGCTCGATGTTGACAATAATCTGTATTATATTGGATATGGTAAGGAACATAGAGATTTTATATATATATACTTTTTATTTGAAAAACTGAATTTCAATTAATTACAGCAAAGTGATCAATGGCTAGCTCTTGAGCTTCACGAACTTAATATTTTTTTAATAAACATTTCTGGCCAAATTTTAATGATACCAATTTGTTAAGGCAGTCTGTAAGTCACGCTAAGTGAGAGCCTGTTTGGCGTGCTCAACAAGAAGTCATCTGATTTGACCAGAAGAAGCTTTTCATGTTTATGCTCAAATAATTGCCAACACGTGCCCTATCAGCGTCAATCAAGCCAAAACAGTGTGCACAGGGGGCTGGGTCATGGGGTGTAAGGGTATGGGCCCTAGGAAGCGCAGCAGGATGCAAACGTTTTCACACTTATGCACAGCATTTAGTGCATTCTTCAAACAACCCGCATATATACCTTATATAAATGTATGGTATATACTCACTCAGCGGTCCTTAGCTACCTGTTCGGGTGGTTGTTGCTGCCGCTGCTGCTGCCCCCTCCGTGTCCGTCCGCCGTTAAGTAGCCAGCTATATGACGGCTATTGCCGCCTTTGTCGTCTGGCTGCTGATGATTTCATAAGGCGATAAGGTAGCCATTGTCATTCAAAGCTGCGTCTCACGCTGAGCGTTTCTGTGGCAATTTAATCAAATTAGTTTTCTCACGTGTTGCCCTTTTTTAACCAGCCCCGCTCACAACAGGCCGGTTCAAAAAATGCCAGTTAATCAAAAAATACATAACAGAGGGAACTCAACAGCCCTTTATGAACTCAAACTGAGAACAAAGACCCGAGTTATTGTAGAGAGCCAAGGCTCGAAACAAACAAATTGAAATTTATTATTCAGTTGGGCCGAAGTCCCGGCGATATTGCAGTGCCGGGCCAACCCGTGACAGAGGTGGAGCAAGCCCCTAGCACTCCGTCTGATTCCAAAAATCAGTTTAACATTTGTTGTTCTCCAATGGAGAAACTATCAGATGTTAAGCTGATAAGAACAGATACTACACTTTGATCTTAGCCATGAGGCCGAGAAGCGATACCTTCCAAGAAAATATACACACCTCTCTGTGTATCCACAGCTAAAACCAGTTGCGAATTATAAGCGAGGCACGTGTGTGAGGCTAGTGGTGCTTACTTAGGGGTAGGGCTGAATACACTGTTGCCTACCTTAGGGGTTCTTCAGGTGCAACTCCAATCATATAATTCACAACTAGTTCAAGCATTGCTTGAGGTAGAGTCAAGGTGTTTGAATTGGGCTATTCACTCTGGCTTCTCTTCAGTTGTCGAATAAATCTTTCGCCTTTTACTAAAGATTTCCGTGGAGAGGAGCACTCTAATGAGTCTAAATTGAATTTTTTCGTGTGCCTGGTGACATTTGTTGCCGGGCCAATCAAAAATTAATTATTCATTATAGTCGAAAATGTCCGACTAGCAATAAAAAGAACCGCGGCTGTAGTTTTATCTACTATATATCAAATATACCCACATATACTAGTATGAAAAGAGTTTCTACTTTCAAATATATTTGTTTTAATATGTATTAAATTATTTGTTTATTGTTATTGTTGCTTGTTTTGCTGCTGTTTCTGTTTGTTTCAAATTAGCCTGCAGCTATTGATTGTTTGTTTAATATGCATTCAATGAGTAGTTTCCTTTATAATAAATATATATGTATATATATTCATTTATAGTAATTCGCTTGTATAAATATATTTATGTATATGCAAATAATGTACTTCAAATCATTTCGCAAGTGCTTTTCGCTTTCATTTGCTCCGCTTCAGCTGTCAGTCATTATACAATACAATTATTTATAACTAAGTTCCGGATTTATAATTATTATGTTCTTTTATCAAAATATATCAAATGCTAACTTATCTGTTTTAAAGCTTTCTATTTAGTTATTGTTTGTATTATAAATCTGTTTAAGATGAACAGTTTTTCGATTTTTTCAATGCTCAGTAAAAATTTGGCAGCTGGGTCAGGACGATTAAATTAAAATTTGTTATGCAAGTTTATTTTTATAAAAATTTGATTAGCTGAAATTTAACTAGTAGTAAAAATTTATTATAAACCACACTGGTTAAGTATTCTAAATGGTTATAGATCGTATCTAATTTCAATAAGTTAGCGTTTAGTTCATTTCTGTTGATTTCATTTAGTTATTGTTGGTCTTTATAGTTAAATGAATAGGAAAGCTTTATTATACAATAAATAAAAAGGTGCGTGCTGTATGCGGGTCTAAAAAAATCTGTCGTTAAAAAATTCCAATTTAATTCTGAACGAGATTGTCGACAGTGCCCATAAATTAGGCATAATCAAGCTGCTTTATAAAGCTCCGGAAACTTGTTTGATTCTAGTTGAAAACTTTGTCAAATACACTATAAAATTATTCGGATATTTCTTATACTATTGTTCTCCTCATAGCGAACTGTAACCATAATTAGCCTATGAACAACCATTGTTTTCAAAGTGTTAAGCTACCAGGTTCTACACAGATCTATTCTATCTAAACACAAACGAAAGAAAGAATGATAACTTATTGATTGGAAATAATTTGTATTTTTTTTAAATTTATTTTAGATTTCCGACAGATTTGTTAGGCCCGCGTTTCGTGGCACTTTTCTATTGTACAATAAAAAATCTTTAGTTAATTTGCTCTTCTTTTCATTTTGGCATATTTTGCAAGCCGCGTAGCGCATTTAGAACAAGCAAGCATAGAGTATTTACAAGTATTTAAGTTTAAATAAAAATAGTTCATAGTAAATCGAATTTGTATTTATTTTATAAACTTTGTGATTTTTGTTAAAATATATAAATTAATCGCATAATAATAATATACTTAAAGCAACTCACTCAAAGTCGCGTCGAAATGCATAAATTTAAATTAAGTTTAATTTGAAGAAAAACTCAGCGCTTTCCACTTACACATTTAATTTAATTTTTTTTTTTGCTTTCTTAATTTTTCAATCAACATTTATGAAACAAATCACACATAAAACAAACCGAAATCAAGTCAAGTGAAATGCAATAATTATACAAATAAACGAGAATCCATATATATGTAGATGTATATATATATGCATATATATATAAATATAAACTTAACACCTACGATCGCCCAATGCAATAACAATTTGCATTTGGCGCTGGGTCTTTTTAGTTAGTTATTCACTCGAAACTCTTTCTCGAGCTCCATTTTGAAAACAAAATTGAATTTTGCTCTGCTCTATATCATCCAGCGGCGATTTTGTTTGTGTTTTATGTCTTTGGTGCCGCATGGTCCAGAATCCAATACATATCTATATATGTATATATATAGAAATATACACATATTTGCATGTGCTCTCGAAATATGCTCTTAACATATAGAATTTTACAAACTAAATAAGCTATATAACGCGGCCGCTCCTTTTTCTTCTCATATCTCGTCTTCTCTTCCTTTTTTGTGTCTTCTGTTATCTATATAATCTGTATATTCTGTATTCGATGTTGCCTAAGCCTATTGATTTTGTGAACGAGATTCGAACATTGCAGTCATATCGCGTATTGAGAATTGTGGTGAGATCTTTTCTCTGTTGCTGCAAATATAAGAAGATTTTTGGAATACATTCGATTTTCAAGTGTATGTAATAATAAAATATGTAGCATTAACAGAATGATGTTAAGCAGCTATAAGCTGTTAATATTTTACGCTGCTCTAACATTAATATCATATGGGATAACATTAACATTAACATAATATTTAAATAGGAACTACTTACTTGACGCTCGCATTGCTCTCTGTGGTTATTGGATGGGGCATAGAGTTTCTTGTCGGGCGATCGCGTCCGATACTCCGCTCAAACTTTCCTGGCATCGTAGAAGTCGTAATCGCTGTGATAACTGGTGCATTGTTGGAGGCATATTTCTGGGCAGTCGTCTTGACGCTGTGCACGGCTAGATTAATGCTGGCCCCATTGCTGGTATCACAGTTTTGGTTCTTCTCGTCGGAAATGCTGCGCACACGTTGTGTGCCAAAGTCGCCCGGGTGATGCAGTGTGCTCTCAGAGCCAGCACCAGCGCGTGCCAACTGCTTGAGATTCATGTCCATGTCCTTTTGCAGGGAATGCATATCACCGCGCGACTTGGACTTGATGCGCATCGAATCGGGGGCCTGGAAATTATTGTCATCCGAATTGAGCTCCGTCTTGGAGCGTGACTTAATTGTGTCCCCATAGTACTTTTGTGTCAGCTGCTGGCGACGCTCCTCCTTGATCTTATCGATGCGTTCGCGATCGAGTATGACGCCAGTCAAGACGCTCTTGCGTCCGCCAGCGGGTAGATTCAATATGGCGGCTGCTGCATTTGGTTGGGGCAGCTCACGGGCAGGCACATTATTCTGCTGTATCAGCGAGATGCGATTCTCTGTGGTGGGCGTGGTGATCGGCTCATCCAGTTCATTGGCGCGTTTCTGGCATATCTCCTCGGTAATGCTCATGCCTGGCAAACGCTTGGGCGGATTCAGCGTCTTGGGACGCGTGAAATCAAAGCTCTTGCGGCGATTGTTCAGCTCCGGCAGCTCTGGCAACTTACAGGCTGTCAAGTCCTGCAGTTGCTTGCCTCCAAACTCGCGGACAAAGGCGTTCTCGTCCAACGAACGTGTAATTTTCTGTGCTTTATTGAGTTTTTTGAGTGGCACAGGCATCACAGGTTTCGGTGGAACTGCGATGGGAAGACTCAGCTCATTTGGCTTTTTCATGGAGCCACCGCGTTGTGTGAAATCAAAGTTGGGCAACTGCTCCACCGGCGAACTCTCAAATTTGGTGGCCAGCTCTTTGACGCTGAACGATGGCGATTTACTGGGCTGTTCGTGTTGTTCCATGTTAATGTGTTCGACGCTCGGCAAACTATCCAGGCTGTCCAGTTCGATTCTATCACAGCTGGGCTGCTGTTTCACCACTGACTCCAAATCCAAATCCGACTCGAGCTCTAGTTCGTTTCCTAATGTATTGAGTTTCATTTCCTCGCCACGTAGATTCTCATAAACTGTTTTCGGCTTGCGCAGCTCAATGTTCTCATAAAGCAGCTGATCCTGCGTTCGCTGATCCTCCTCCTCCTCCTCTTCTTCTTCATCGTCCTGGTCTTGTTCAAGCTGCAGGAGCTGCTGAGTCATTTGCGCCGCACGATTGGCACTGACATCCTCCTCCTCAATCTGCTTGAGGCTCTGGCCATGTCGCTCATTCAGCAACTGATTCACCTCGGTCACCGAATTCCTAAACAGCTTCACCTGCTCGTAGACAATGTGCTCGTCGAAATTTGTCTCCAGCAAAAGCGCGGGCTTTGCTGGCGGCTTCTCCTTTTCCGGCGACTTGTACGTTATGCTAATGGTCGACTTGATGGGACTGTTAACAACGGGCAGCAGCTTTGGCGGCGTCAGCGCATTGCTAGGCGTCTGCTCGAAGTCCTCGTAGAGCGGCGAACTCTCCTCGGTGGCCAACAGTGAGTGCATACTCAGCTGGCGCTGCAGATGCTGATAGCCGAACTCGCTGGGTGTCACCGATTGACTAGTGTTGTCCGTAAAGTTCGAGTTGTTCGGCGAGCTGGCCTGCAGCTGCTCCTTGATAGGCAGCGTGGCGGCACGGTTCGCCGGCTGCGGCAGGCGTGGCTGCAGCGGCTGCAAATCCAGCGATAGTTCACGCTTCAGGGCATGCATATCGCGCTGCTCCACTTCCGTCTGTTGGTGGAACTGTGAAAGCAGAGGTAAAATGTGAATTAGTATTAGAACCAAATATAATTGTAAGCCGAGCTCGACTCACCTGTTGGCCCAGGCTCTCATGTGAGCTGCCCAGATAACTGCTCCCTGCGTCTACGCCCAACAGCAGCGGCTGCTGTTGCACATTGGAGGAGACGCCTGAAATGCCCGACATGGCAGAGTTAAGCATTAGCGGCTCCATATCATATTGTGGCGTATTCACTGCTGAGCTATTCTCCGAGCTCTCCGTGTCGCACAGCAGCAGCGAGTAGCGTGGACTATGCGCCGGCGTTGTGGG